CTTCCCAATCAAGGTTCAGGGAAAACATATCTTTAGCTTGCAACGAAGTGCCAGATAGTCCATACTTTCTGGGTTGATTAGCTTCGTTGATATCAAACATTCTCCAAATAGGGGTGGATTTGAATACATAGTTGCTTCTGCTACTTATAAACTTCCAGAGAAGCATTTCTTGCTCTGAGTCTAACTTAGTATACAACCCTGTTGATCCAACCCGGGCTGTTTAAGCCCATATCCATTAAAAGATGACGTAGAATCTTAGCCAGCAGACTTCCTACTTGAATGAGGTTTACCGCACATGCCTGATTCGTTAGTTTGGGGATTGCTTGATTGAGTTCTTGAATTGGATGGTTCTGAATCTGTGGGCTCCTGTTCACTTTCACTTTCACTTTTGACTTCCGTGTTTTTAGGCCCACCAACAAGTTGAACTAGCGCTTCTTCAATTATCCTAGATATGCTGTCGGGGCTTTTGAGTTCATCATACTTCAAGAATTGATCTATCATTGAACCCCCAACTTGAGTTAGATAGTTCTGGTCTAACCTATTAATATTAGGTCTTATTTTCGTTAGTTCTGCTACCATGATCGTAGCGAATCGGCGGTTTAATTCATGGGAATCGCATCGGGCGCCTATTGCGATTAGATCAATTTCAATTCTGCTTATTTTTGGATTGGGTAATTGATTTTGTGGGCCCTTTAAGTCACTCTCAATTTGGTGTATTTGCTTTACTATAATTGCTAGCTTACCTATGATCTCCCTTCGCAATTCCTTTGACGTCGGGGTACTCTTGCATTCAAATAACCCTTGTTCCATTTGTTGGATAGCTATATCAAGACTTTCCTGTATTATTTCTTCTTTAACTAGTTCAGATATCGCCTTAATCTCCTTCTGTTCGAATATATCCTCTAATCTGTCAAGGTAGCTGGTATTGCATCCGATTGACTTCAAGCCCGTATAAAGCTGTTGTTCTTGTCTCATGCGGCCCCATTGGTCCACCTTTAATGCATCTATTCGCGTTAATTGTTTATTCCTTAAGGCTTTCAGCTCGTCTATTGCATTGGTTAACTCAGCATATTCCGATACTATTTGACTATCTATATCTAACGTAGCGTCTTTAGATATATCAAACAACCCCATCTCATCTAAATCCTCATCAGAACTACACCAAACACAACACAATCCAATAACCAAGCAAACTACTTGATAAACATTCAAAGAGTATTCATTTAACCTTCTGTTCATTTTACAAGTTGCTATCTCATGTTTTTATTTATAGACTATAATATATCAATATCAAAAATATTCTAGTCTTAGCCAAGCAAATTCTCTAAATTAGTAGAATATCAACAAGACTTACTTTCTAAATATGTCTATTCAATACCAAACCAATACTAAACCAATACGACCACTACTAACCCAACCCAAAGATCAACCTGATTACTGATAAGCTAATTACGCCTTGCAACTTTAATAGAGTCAATCTGCTTTGACTAATTTAGTTTTACATATCTACGCTACAATTCAATATGACGTCATCCTCACACACGACAATATTTATTTAACAAATCACATCGATACTCGTCTCAAGGAAGGTCTTTAATAGAGTACGCATTGGCTAATGAACCCTATCCAACCCAATACTAACACCATTTAATCTATAACAGCTTATCTAAAACTCTCGAGAGAATATAGTAGAATAAAATATAGCACCATCCACTTCTAAATCTACCCTTAGGGATGAAAGATTGTATTCCTGGTCCTAGAGACAGAAAAGAGACTCATTTGGTACTTTGGCTCAATAAAGATAATTTCCAAGTCTCACATGCTGAGGGCTTTTGTATTTCAAACTGGGCGAGCTTCATACTCGGCATGGCATATTACATTGAAGAATTATAATTGACCCGGCGGCATCAATTGATTAGATAGGGCTAAATTGAAAGTATAAATAAAATAAGGCAAAAATAGATATGACCCGATATAATTACTTAATGTGGATACGTCTTTTATGCCCTATTCTTCTAATAGATAGCTCGGTGCTAGCTGCTATGGCGGCGGAGGCAGTAAGTTTTGTTCCTCTTCCCCTTAATTCTCTTATGCCGATTGCTCAGACACTGGCTGAAATTGAAAGTACGTATAATGTAGAAAGACTGCATACGTTCGACCAAAAGCAGAAGGCCAAGATGCTAAACCCAGCCAGTTTTGGTCCGTTTTCTCATCAGAGGAGAAATGTAAGTGAGAAAGACAATGTTTTTGATCGTTATAGTCCACCTAGTATACCGTACGATCGTGAAGTCGCTCATAAAGCCAGACAAGACTTCTTCAATATAGCAACGGATGATGCCTTTGTATCTCCCGATCAAGCAGACCAAAAGCACATCCCCAATGAGTTCCCATCGAAACCAGCCAATATCCAGACATTCAACACAGTTCTAACACCTGCTTCCATGCCTGAGCAAGTTCCACTAGGTATGCCTGCCGCCGAATATCCAGATAGACCTTATCATGATAGTGTTGCTGGCAGAGAGCGGCGAGCCTTGACAAACAGTCCTGGATCCAAACCAATTCCTACCCAACCGCCCACTCAAAGCACTACTAGGTACGTTCCACCAGCCTACTACAAGTACCAACGGGCTATTTCTGACTATTTATTTGATTTTGAAACATCCAATCCTCTACCACTCTCCTTTTTACCCGATCCTAAGTCTTTCGATGGTAAACCCAATCGTATGCTTACTCAATACTGGGGCATAAATCGACATGCTCTGAAAAAGTCTAATCCATCCCTTGAAGGTCTCCTCTCTTCTATTGTTTATTCTCCACACGTTCATAAGCATCTAATCGATAGTGGCAAACTTGTTCAAAGGTTTAAGAAAGCAATAAACTACCTTCAGCTGGACATCCAATCAACCAGTAACAAAATGATTGCTGCTACCAAAGATCCAGACAATCCTGCCAGTGCTATCCAGATCCCAATCTACCAAAAAATGCTCAGCTGGTATGTTCAGGATATGCGCGGCTATATTGCTGATTACACCAAAGCCCGCCAACATGACATTTGGACGACCCGATGTGCTTCTCGCTGCAACACCCAAACACACTACCCAGACCAACCCCTTTCCATTGAAGAAGAGATTACGAAATTAGGAAGCGAACACCGCAACTACTTCTCCACAAATGAAGCCACCATGTCCTTCCTCGAAGCAGTCAACCAAAACAAACCTCTTCTTATCGCCTTACAATATGCAGTGCACAACGCCCAACTATACATTGACTACCTGATTGACCACAAACACCTACCCGAATCACTAGTTACCCCGGCCTACGACTTCATCTCTATTCTAGACAAATACCATGAGAACATCGGCATGCTCTACGAGTATGCTAAATCTCATGTATCTCAGCCACCTCTCGAAGATCAAGATGTTTTAGACCTAAAGTCTCTTACCGACCAACTCTTCAAGGATGATAATTCTTCGATCTACACTCAATTCCGTTTCTTCGCTGACATAGCTGCTGTGCGGTATACACACAAGACACAAACTATTCTTAACAACCTTGCCAAGGTGGCACCCGCCCAGGTTGACATTATTATTTCACCAGTTATCGCCGAAGCCACCCAAGTAGTGGACGAGCTAACCGATATTCATTCTTACTTTAACCGGGTTCAAACTAACTACGCGAAGAGCCAAGACCGACTACGCCATGCTCTCTACGACCTCAACGAAGCCCAAATAATTAAGCTATACAACATGATACCCGATCCCAAACCTACTCCAGACACACCTGCCGAATCACGTCCCCCAAACCAGGCCCAGTCCCGCCGCAGCCGTTCCATCAATTCATCAGCTCCCAATACCAATACTGACACTAACACCAATATCAGCGCCGGCGCCAATACCTCTACTGACACCAACACCAGCGCCGACGCTAATACCTCCACTGACATCAACACTAATACCTCTACTGACATCAACACTAATACCTCTACCGACACCAATATCAATAACAATACCAAAAACGACACACCTACTGCTTCTAACTCTAACGTAGATACTAACACAGACATCAACCCAGATACTCATACTAACTCAAATCAACTTAACAGCAACAATAGCAACAACAATAACCATCAACAATCTAACCATAGCTCAGTCCTGTTTACAGGTATAGAAGAAGATCCCGACTTTACCCCAACCAACACTAACTATGGTGATCTTACTGCTATTTCTGTCTACCTAGATACCATTCCATTAATTGATATACCCGCACTATCTACCCCCGTCAAAACCATTCCCTCCAATTACCAATCGGTCAACAACACTCTCACCGCGGAATCGGCCCAAGCACTTACCCAAGTCTTTATCCCACACAACAAAGATTACCACGGGGATCCCAAAGAAATGCTCAAGTATTACTGGGGACTCAAGACCCCACTACCCGGCACCAAACCCCAAATCAATCTTACCGAATTCACCAACCAAATCATCCAATACCCCCACGTTGTCGCCGAAGTCACCTACGCCCGCACACTCATATCCAAGCACCACGATCGCATACTAGACCTAATCACCAAGATTATCACACTCAACAACGAATTAAACTCACTAGGTCCAAATAATCCACGGGTCCCTCAAGACAAAGCCGCTATCCTGGTCAGCCTAGAAGAACTCCGCCAAACCACCCTCTCTATTATCAATGGCAGGTCCCATGTCTGGTACAGTAAATGCGCGCATAACTGTTTCAACAAGTTCAACTACCCCGACGGGTACATCAACATCGCTAAGGAGTTCTCCAAACTCCTCAAAAAGTACCATTATCAGTCGCCCAAGACTCGTAACAAGATCCACGAGATACTCCAAGACTTCAAATCCCACACCCGTCTCTTCCAACTCTTACACACGGCCGTCCAAAACTCCAAACACCACATTGAGTATCTCATTAACCACAAGTATCTACCAATTCAAGACCGAGCCGACGCACTCGTTTATCTCTTCCCATTTGAGCTACACGCCCAATCCCTCCTAGAAATTCAAAAGTATCTTAATCGTCCTCTCCTAGTCCTAAGCGACGATGCCTGTAAACAGATCCGAATATATCTTCGAATTATCTTTCAGATGCATCAGCCGAACAGCCCCATTAATATGTATTTCGACCATATCCAGCAGACAGCTTACCAAAAATACGACTCTCGTTTATACTTCATGATCGAGGAATACAAATCCTCCCACCATCCCGCCATGGATGCTCGTTCCCTTGAAACTCTCACAATGGCCACCCACTCCCTTCTTTCCTCTCTCCTTTCCTCCCATCGATACATCAACGAGACCTCGAAGCATCTCACAACCATCCGCGAAAGCATGCAACGTACTCTCAACACCGCCACCCCCACCGAGCTCCACCAACTACTCAAACACATCCAGCAATCCCAATTCCAACAATTCCAACCGCCAAACCAACCACACCCCCAACAATTTCAACATCAAAGACGACTCCTCAAAGCACAAGCCACCCGCCCATCTCAATAAACCACCACTTTAGTTGACCCAATACTAACCCAATTCAATACCAATAACCCATTTTATTATACCACTATCTACATGCCAATTTCTACACTACTACACTATACTTTACTATTTTGTTGGTAAGTGACTACACGCCGTTCTCAACCAATACCAAACCCATACTAAACCCATACCAACCCAATAGCCATATTAGATACTTTTTAGATTATTGAGTAAACTATCAACGTATTGGCTATGACGTGTACAACATCCAATTGAGTTAGTATCTTCTTAAACTAAATACATCTAGTGTTTATAGTTGGGAATTGTCCTCTACCAATCTCTAACTCAACCTGACACAACTCACTACTAACTCATTGGAACTGCTGATAAAGAATAAAGATGCGCTAACATCTGCTTATCTCCTATGAAACATACTGTAATGCAATACATAACTTATACCAACTCAATAGAATGTCGGATATTGAACACCACCTTTACTATATCTAACTCAATACAATAGAGTTAGTACCACCACCATCATCATACACAATTCAATTCAATCTTAACTCAATACTAACTCTAAACTAACTTACTATCATATCAGGCAAAAAGAGTGCGCTAACCGGGAATCGAACCCGGGTCTTAACCTTGGAAGGGTTGCGTTCTACCATTATACCATTAGCGCGCACACTGTTTCTCCAGCCAGCCTCTACCCGTCCTCTTTTTACCGCCCCCGGGAAACCTCCCGCCTTTTCTTCTATTTAGTGCATTGCGTTTTATACTCTATGCCCCGAATACCCTTTGAAGAGAAAACTAACGATGAAAAGTCCGACCATTCAAAAGTCAAAAAGCAAACCGATCGAGAGTACCTTATAAACCACTTATCTATGCTAGCAACTCAAACCAGAGATTATGCCTTAAAATACGACATTAAGCTATGTACTGAAATACTACAGGGTAAAGAGAACCAAGCAGTCTCAGAGCTTAAAGAAGCAGTTACTGAACTAGCTGCAGAAAATGAGCAACTTACTAAACAATGTGATTATCTAAACATGCAATTATACAATCAAAAACAACAATTATAGATTGGGTTAAGTATAGTATAGTATAGAATTGAATTGAATTGAATTATGTTAGATAGAGAAGGCGGAGGCGTTGTAGTCTGTTAGTGGTGTATTAATAAGTAGCACGGTAGGATATCAGTAGTAGTAGAGATAGTTGGCCGGAGTAGTTATCTTATCATCAAACCAACCAATAAATTGGGTTATAATATAGTATTTAGTTAAGTTGAGTTTAAGTTGAGTTTAAGTTGAGTTTAAGTTACGTTGAGTATAGTATATATTGGGGTAGTATTGGGTTGGGTTAAGTTACGTTATGGTATTTCAAAATCTTAGATAAGATTGTGTTAGCATGTGTTAAGATGTGTTAGTGTAGGTTGACACTTGAAATGTATATAACCCAGTACGAACCCAATACGAACCCAATCCCACTCTATACTATACTATACTTAACCTAACCTAACCCAATACTAACTTAACTTAACCTATTGCAATGAGTTATTGTTGGGGGTTTGTTTTAGGGTGCTTGGGTGCTTCAGTGTCGTGGCAACAAACAATGCAAGTATAAAAGGCGGGGGTGTAACTGGTCTATGCAGTTCTTAAAAGGATCACTTCCTCTGCTTTGGTTGGGGGAGTGCTTGGGCACGGCAGTCTTTACAACAGCTGATAAAGGTGAGTATAAAGTCTTACCAATGGCGGCCGATCCGGCTTATACGGATGCTTGTTCTATTTCGGCCTATAGACCGACTGAGAAATGGCTGGGAATGGTGACTCTGGGAGGATGTTCTTTATCTAAGAAACATAAGAATTTGCTTTCAATGGGGGCTTCTGGGATGTTAGTTGAGTCATTAGAAGATGCGCCGTATGATATCTTTTCTTCTAATAATGGGTCTTTTTATGTTGTACCAATTGGCAAACCACTTTACAATATGTTGTTAAATCTTTATCTGGCCAAACGAGGTAATGGACCGAGTGATGGATCTGGTCAATTACAAGACTTACCTTCTGTGCAGATATCTTTACCTCAGCCTAAATCCATTCCTCTTCTACAGATTTCTTATGTTATCTTTCTCATTGTTATGATTTTTGTCTTCCCAGTGCTTTTTGATAGTCTAGAAGAACAAACACCAGCTACTTTATCTCCTAAAGACTTATCTAAACTCCCACTTCTACCATTCTCTGAACTATCAGAAGCCACTCGTAAGTATGAAGAATGTCCCATTTGTTTTGATAGATTTGTTGCCTTGGTACCCACACGCACACTTCTTTGCACCCACTACTTCCATTCCGAGTGCATTGACCCCTGGCTACTCAGTCGCAGTTCCCGCTGTCCCGTCTGCAACCACGACCACATCCTAGCCAAATAACTTACACTATCTCACTATCTCACTACCTCACTCAATCTTAACTCAATCCACCCCAAACCCAAACCCAATCTTAACTTAACTTAACTCAATTAGATACCATTTACTTAGCACCCCCATCCATTTATTTAGCTATTTAATCACATAACTTACCACCATCTTTTATTACTCATCCTATCTATTAGATAGCCATTTAACAATTTAACAACTTAACCTTCCAGCACTCTCCATCTCAATTACATCACCCACCATCTCAATTACATCACTTTCCCCATTCTCCCCACTCATCTTAACCTATCTTAACTATTTATTTAACTTTCACCCATCTTAACCCATATCTATCTCAGTCCTATTCCCTATCTAAACCCCACCTAAACCCAACCCAACCCCACCTAAACCCTTCCTAAACCCTTCTAAACCCTTCCTAACCCCATATAACTCAATATTATAACATTTTACATACTATTGCAAATAACAACTTAAATGCTATCTCAAATCATATCTCATCTTTAGATCTTAACTTGCCTAATTAGGAAACATCTAAAATTTTAATTTCTGATTAAATACCAAAAAAAACAATTGATCAATTTACAATCTGCAGAATGATCAAATACAAGAAAGGAGGTGATATAACATGTGAAAACTGCAAGACCAGTGTGACACCGCTCTGGCGGAGGAGTGATTCGGGAAACTATCTATGTAATGCCTGTGGCTTGTACTTGAAGATACACAAGAAGAGTCGGCCAGTGAAGTTTATGTCAAAGGAGATCAAACATCGCCAAAGACAAGCAATGCCTAGAATGCTATCTGATGGCTTATCAGAGATTTATGATATCGCATGTAATGAGATAAATATCCAAAATGGGGTGTACGAGAAAGAACGCAAACTTGATGAATGTTTAGTGATTAACTACACAGAAGAAGAAATAGAAGCATTGTCTGGTCTAGTAATGCTTACCTGGGATAGTGCCTGGTAAGTAGAGTATTAGGTTTAGGTCGGTTTAGAGTCGAGTGGATGGTTAGTTAGGAGGAGTATTTAGTTCGTTTAGGAGACCATTGGCTTGGGCTAGGAAGAGACTGAGATTGCTGGTGAGAAGAGTGCCGGATATTTGTTGTATCTCAAGAATATCAAGAGTAGCAGTGATAAGGAGGAGTCGGTGCTGGGAAAGGGCAATAAATAGAGAATGTTCATTAGGTGTAGGTTTAAGATAGGGTAGAGGTTGTATTTGTTTGATTTGGTGGTTAAAAGAGAGGGTAGATAAGGAGTCAGAGATAAGTTGAAGAGGGGTATCAAAGTAGGAGATAAGTAAAGGTCGGGGTATAAAGTCTAGAATTGGTTTAGGCTGGGAAAAGTGATAGATAGAGTTAAGATAGGTAGGGGTAGGTGTGGTAGATAGATGTGGGGTAGATAGAGGTGGGTTATGGTTGATAGTGTTATTGTTAGTAGTATCTGGAGTGATATTGTTATTGTTATTGTTAGTATCTTGATTACTACTACTACTATTACTACTCAGATCATTATTATTACTCTTATCATTACTACTAGTACTCATCTTAGTACTACTCATATCCATATCATTACTCATACCAATACTATCCACATCATTACACATACCAATACTACCCACACCATTACACATAGGCACACTAGTGCTTATCTTGGTGGAGTGGGTTTGGAGAATGAGTTGGAGAATGTGGCCGGATTCAAATGCCAGATAGAGAGTTTTGGTGGTTGGTAGATAGCGAAGTTGGGTGCAAAGACCATGCGTAGTCGGGAGAGTGGCTAGAACACGACGAGTAGGATCATAAATAACTAGTTGGTCTTTGTTTTCAACTAGTACGGGTTCTGGAACTAGAGTATAAACAATAAAGACTGAACTTTGTCTTAAAGACAATCTAAGATTATCTGAAATTTGTAAGTGCATTTTGTTACCTAAAAGGGAAATAGAATCTTTGATTTGTTCTTTCAAATACTTAGTCAGACTAATCTGTTCCTGATCGGCCAGAGGGACAATAGACTGGTCTAGAAGGAATAAATTAGATTTAGATTGCGATAGGGTTGGATTGAGATTAGATTGAGATTGCGATGGGGTTGGATTAAGATTAGATTGAGATTTAGATTGGGATTGGGTTGGATTTGGATTAGGTTCGAAATTGAATGGAATTGGTCTTTGCACAAGCAATCTAGAACTGAGTCTTTCCCAAACCCAAATCCAGTGTTTGGTCATAGTAATCAAGATAAGCTCAGAACTCCATAATCCTTCTACACTCTCACTATGCCGATAGGTTCCGGCTACATTAATTAAAGAACTATTAACGAAATGAACCATGCAATCTAAAAAATTGTCAACTTCCCAATTGGGTAATAATAATCGATTATAAAATGTCCTAAAAGGGTAATAACAAACTAATCTAGAGTATCTCGGGCCAAGTCGCAATTTTTTTAGTATGTCATCCGCTTGTTTTCTCAAGAGTATCCAATTAGTTAACTTTATGTGCCATAAGAACTTAT